TTTTGCCTTGGTCTTTACTGGCAAGGTCAACTCTCAGAATTTAAATAACTCTGAGCTTAGTGAGAGAGTTTGGTGAAAAAGGTAGTAGTAGGGTAGGACAATCAAGTTGGACCCGCTTAAGTAAACTGAGCGTACAGAAGTCCATGGGACTGGGAAGAATGCTTCTGAGGATGCCAAGCTTGCTGGCTAATGCCACTGTAAGATTGCTGTCTTTCAAATCTGAAAGGTGGCAGTCTGACACAGCTCCCAATGCCTGGAAAAATGCAAATACTAGCCCATATTCCAAAAAAGAACTGAAGAGAGGCTCAGGAGGACTACAGCTCAGCCTGCTTCACCTCAGTCCCCAGGAGGACTATGCAACAAACCCTCCTGGAAGATATTTCCAAGCACATATGTTTGCAAACAACCAATACAAATTTGCTAAGGACTTGAACAATCTAATTGCTGTCTATGGTCCTGTGGATAAGCAGAACACAATGGATATAATTTGCTTTTTCTTTGATAAAGTTTATAACATTTTTTCCTGTAGAAGCTTTGTAGCTCAATTGTAGAGATGCAGACTGGATGAATGGACTATGAAGTGGCTAAAATATGAGTTGACCATCAGACTCAAAAGGTGGTGAGTAAAAGTTCAAAGCCCAGCTAGCAGACTGTAGGAGTGATGTAGGTGAGGTCAGGACAGGGACTGATATCATTAAATGTTTTCATCAGTGACCTGGACAATGGATTAAATATATTGAAATGAAATGCTGTTCAGACACCAACCAAACTGGGGTAAGGGCAGAGCTGCTGCTCAGAGGGACTTTGGCAGGCTGAAGGAATAGGCTGACAGGATCCACATAAAGTCCAACAGAATAACACCATGCAACAGCACAGGCTATGAGTTGACTGACTAGAGAGCACCTCTGCAGAAGAAAACTTGGATGTCCTGATGGAACAGGAACAAAGACAGTGGTATAGCCTTGCAGTTGATGCAAGCTAACTGCATTGGCAAGAGTGTAGCCAGCAGCTCATTCAAAGGGATTATTACTGCTCTACATGGCATCATGATGCCCCATCTGCAGTACTGTGTCTGCTTGTGGGGCCACTAGTAAAAGAGATCTTAACAAACTAGAGAGAATCCAGAGGAGGAGGACTCTAATGGTTAAGGGGCTGGAGAAAGCAGACACTGAGAGTACTGGGTTTGTTCAGCCTGAAGGGAAGATTAGGGGTGGATCTAATGGCTGTCTTCTATCTAATGAGAGGGTTCTAGAGAAGATGAAGCCAGAGGTGCACTGCAAAATGGCAAAAGACAGATGCCCAGTTGCAGCCAGAGAAATTCCAGTTGGATATGGGGTGGAGCAGGAATTTGAAACAGGTTGCTCAGATATATTGCAGAATCTCCGTTCTTGGAGATTTTCCTATACCAACTAGAGAACCTGAGCAACCTGTTCAGACTTTGAATCTGGCCCAGATTTGAGCAGGAAGTAGGACTAGGTAACCTTCAGAGGTGCCTTCCAACCTGAACAATTCTGAATTTCCACAGTATCCAATACAGTCTGTGTATTATATGGTTGGTTGGCATACTATGCAAAAGGAAAATCTGAGATTTTATTCTTGCCTGTTGCTGAGTGCTTATACTCTTAGGGGTTTTATAATTCATTCACAGAGTGGCATGGAAAATATTTTTTAATGAAAAAAATAGAATAAATTTAAATCTTTCCTTAATTTGAGCAAATTCAAACAAGATAGAGCATAGGAAATGTTATTTTTACTGTGAAAGAACTTTGGTACTAGACTCTCCACTGTGACTGAGGTTAAATCCCTTGACATTTATCTCAGTTTCCTCTTTGCTTTACATCTGTGTAACAATATTTCCCTGATGTCACAGAGCTATTATAAGAATAAACCTATCAATTTCCAAAGTACCTCCATGTAGCAATGACATCTTGACAGCATCTATCTGTTTTTCTTTCTCACTGAATTTATTTGAGATCACCTCATGGTTACCAGTGCAGTATCAGTGGCTATGAGTGGGCAAAAATCCTGCACCTTTCAGGTCCCCAGAGTTCAAAGGGTGTTAGCTGACTCTGGGTCTTCTTAAACTCATTCCGTTTTCAGGGTTCTCTGTTGTTTGGTAAATGCAGTATTTCTTCAGATGATTGTGTTACAGGTGCTGACACACTCAACAGCTCTTTAATGCCAATCACCATTAAGGAGGACACATGTGGCAGCTAGTCGTCTTTGCTCTCCTAACACTGACTGCTGTTTATATAATAGCTAATATAAGTTGCTCATCAACCAACTGCCATTGGTCCCATGGGTAGTTTTTGGGGTATTTTTTGGCAGTTACATTTCTTAGGCTGGGCCTCCACTACTGCTTCTAAATGAAAATGAAGTTTGCACAGTAGATCTGTATTGTCATTTGAATGCTTTTTCTAAATGTTCAGCAGTTACAGCTTTTTCTTACAGCTGTTATAAGAGGCAAAAGCCCGAATCAGTGGGTGCAATAATGCAAATGAAACCAAATCACTCAGAGCTGCAACATCACAATTCAACAAGACAGACCCAAAAGTTCAATACAATGATATGGAAACCATACAATGTTGAAAGTGTTTGTTACTTTAATTCTGACAAGGAAGAGGCAAGACCTTGATGGAGATGCTATATAATAAGCAGTAAAGTAAATCACTGCAATGATTTTATATATACTTTATACAGAGATCCTTTCCTGAAAACATTAGCTTTGAGAAGCGTATTGCTTGTGGAAAATCTACCAAATACTGTCAAGTTACTTAAATGAATTTCTTGGATTTTCTGTATTCCAACCAAAGAATAACTTATTGAGCAACAATATATTTAACCCATACCATACATCCCAATGTATCTCTTAATTTAGTATGAACACCATCAGACACTGTAAAAGGCTACAGTTTAGACAGCCTCGCTGGCATTCCTCAGCGGTGGAGCTCTTTCACCCATAAATTTAACTGACTTTTTTTTTCACTCCGTCTTTCACAAACTACAGATACAAACGCCGTGTACTTTAGCAACATAATGCACTGAATGACAACTTGATTCTATATTTGAAATATTAGAACAAAGAATAAGTGATTATTAAAATTATGACTGACTTTAGGAGTCAATAATACTTGACATTGATGTGAGACTTTTTCTCAAAGAGCAGAAAAAAAACTCCACAGGCAAATACCACATACAACCTCACCCTCCATTGATCATGGTTAACAACCTGCCCATCATACCAGAGGACAAAAGGTGGGTATACAATAGAGCAGCCAGTCCCTAGAGCTTTCCCAGGAAGCTTCACACAGCGGTGCTAGATAGACTTGTGAGAAAGAGGATTAATGTTATGTTACAATAAATATTAACAAGCTGTTGGGCCTAAAGGGCCCAATCCTAAATCCATTCTACAAATGCGTCTCCCATTGACTTCATCAGGGGACAGCCTGCAGCCCAAATAGGAGGGTTAATCGACAGAACAACTATTTGAAAGTGATCGTACTTAACTATTTTGCTGTAGTCTTCCTCTTTAGCCTTCCACTTTTGAATTCACAAGATATTTTCACTGTTACCCATTAATTACAGTGCCAATCCATTTATCCATGAAACATTTTTAAACAGAGATGACCTCTGGCATGCAAGGATTAGAGTTTCAATTGCAGTGGATTTGATGATTGCAAGTGATTTAAGAAGAAGGAAGCGGGGAGAGGAAATCTAGACATGGCAGAGCTCCATGTTTTTCTTTATTCACTTAAACTGAACTATTTCTATTAGTCATAAAAAATGTTCAAATGTGACAATACATAAAAAACTCCTGGAGGCAATACACATTGGGGCCAAAAAGATAAAGACTGACAGCCCCCAGAGCCCTCATAGTACTAGAGTAATTGCCTGCTACAGCAGAAGTGGTAAAGCTCTGCCTGGACATTAGCACATGAGCTGGGTTTGCTTCTCTAGCTTGCAAGTGAGTTGAAGGTGTCTTACACTCGGTTACAAACAGAATCAGAAAATACGGGGTGTGCAAAGAATCATTTTATTAATCATCCCAAAAGAAAGCTGTCTAATAGGCTTTCAAGGACATTAATCTGACCACTGAAAACAGGAACACGGAGTACTGAGCAGTTAGGAGAAAAATATTTTGTTTGCCCATACTACAACAACAAAAAAAGGCTCCCCATGCCTCAGCCACACTGTGTCAGGCTGGTTTAATTTTCTACCTCCAGCCACCACCAGCCAGCAGTACAAAACTCCTCTCTTCGATGGCCACTGTTGTTTTTCCATTGTTGCTCCCTGAGGTCCAGATAACCGTCTATTTTTGGAGGAACAGACCTCCAAGAATTTAAGGTCTTTGCAAAGGGCAGTTGGTGATATGCTGTACTCTTCTTGCCCAAGACCTTTGTTCAAGCAACAAAACATTTAACTCCCTCTTGACTCATGTGTGCGGCTACCTGTTGAAGAATCTCTAAATCTAAATAAAAAATGGAAGGGGAAGAAAGCATAATCATTAAATCAAAGAGTAACTAATATATTCTGTCCCTTTATTATGACAGTGTATTTCCCATGCTGGGGTGTCAGTTAATTTAATGTCCTATAAAGGCTATTTACATGATAGTGAGAATGGGGAAAGATCACCACCACAACAAGATTTAACATCACAACTCTTAAATACAAAAATTTATCATAGTTTTAAATGATTAGTTTGTTTTATAAGACACCCTTCAAAGCTGCAGTTGAAAGTTATTGGAAATATTCATTACATGACCCACAACAATAATGGTAAGACTTGTGAAAGTTTTTAGTGTTGTCAGCTTAGCACATAAAAATCAAGAAAACTTCAAAGATACATTTCTTCTGTGTATAAAACTACCGGCAAATTGAATGTAGGAATTTGTTAGGGATGCACAAGGAATCTGATGTTTTGTTTTAGCTATCTCTAAAAATGTCATTCACACAGGTGTTAGCAGCAACTAACATGGAAATTATTAAAAAGAGAACAAGCTGCAGAACAGCTGAAACTGTCACCTCCCTGTATGTCTTTCAGACCGTCAATTTGGAAGGTCTGGTTTTCATCCTGCCTTTCCTCATTGCCTTATACAAGGTTATGTTCAAACTTGGGAAATTAAAAATCACCTCTAAGTCAAACAGTGTCTGAAATCTGCTCACAAATTGGTTCTCTTTGTCCAACCTAAATTTCATAGCCCACAGAATAACAGTGTCATTCTTGCACAAGTGATCAAAAGTTAGGAGGAGTTCATCCAGAAAGGGATGGTGATAAACTACATCAGCAGCCAGAATGTAGTCAAAGTGACAGGAAGACCTAGGAAAGTTCTTTTCCAGATCAATTCCCCAAGACAATTCCTTAACACAAGGCTGGTGCTTGCATTTCAGCTTTGTATTTTGGAGAATGTTGTGCTGAAGGTTTCCCAGCAGTTCTGGCAAATCAGTGGCAGTCACAAGTGCACCTGTGACAGGGAGAAAACAAACATAATCTTTGAATATAGTTCAAGACTTGAGTAAAAGCCCATTCACAAAAGCCACTTGCACAAGGAACTGATTTTACCAGGTAGCTCCCACTGAAAGGAACGGAACAATGTAAATGCTCCCAACAGCTCTTAGCTATTGTGCTTAAAATAAATATTTGGTTCCCAGTAGCTCTACTCTACAGACTGACATCTAAATGCAGCTGAGGATGGGTGGGGAGAAATCAGATACTTACTGCATCTTGATACCATATTGGTTAAAAATACAGTGAGCAACTAAGGGTCGAAGAGTACCAGTTACTGACTCCAGGAAGTCAGCATGAGATTTAAGCATTGCCTCAGGTTCTTTTCACATAGGAAGAATCTTTCCCAGACTACAGAAAGCTAAAATTCTGTTAAAATGCAGAAGTCACTCATCTGGATTACTCTTGAGGAAGAATAGGCTACCGTAAGAGAAAACACAACAGTCTCTGTAGCAGAAAAGTCAAGTTGCTGATCAGTTGCTGAAAGAAAATGCTGAACACAAATGGAAAGAAAGCGACCAGGCATCCAAGAGCTGTTCGGTCAATCACCTTCCTTGATGCATTGGTCATACCTACATCTGGCTCCATTTGGTTGCCACTGGCATCCTGTGAGGCCACTAGTTTCTTGGTTTGGTCCCCTGTTTAACACTGCAATGACAACATCGTCTACTGGGACATCCTTTACTGCATCAACACACTCACAGCTTTACAGAAAAAAAGTAGCAGTTTTCCAAACAAGCCTTTTGGAATTTACTTTTTCTTGCTCTTGGAAACTTTCCAACAGCAGTCTTTTATAAGAACTGAGTCATTTCCTTTATCCTCCAGTATTCCTCTGAGAGATGTTTCCAAGAGCATAAGAGCAATAGCATGTACTCACCCAGTAAACTGGCTACTATGGAGACCAACCCAGTTCCAGCTCCAATTTCAATCACATTTTTGTCAACCAAATTGTATTGTTTAGAATTAGTTTCCAAAAAATAACACAGAACAAGAGCCTGTAGGGGAAGGAATCCATGAATATACCGAACAAACAAATTAAATAAATCCCTTCACTTAAACATGCATTGTCATTTAAAAGCATGCAAAAAAATTCACAACTGTTCAAACGAGCAATATTCATTCAAGCACTGTCCCTAAAGGATCACAGCTCACTACGATCTTTGAGCTCTATAGGCTGACAAAATAAATGCCACAACATGCCTCAATATAGGCTTGCAAAGCATTACAGCCAGAAGGAACAAGTGCAATTATCTAATCTGTCACACTGCAGAACATGAGCTATAAAATTCCAGTCAGCAATTCCTGCTTATAACTGCACTTACTTCTGGCTGAGTTAAAATGTGTCCTTCACAAAGACATCTTGATATAAGGACTGCTTGTGAGAGAAAATCCACAACCACCCTTGTTAAGCTCTTCCAATAGTTAATAATTTCTAACAATAATTAATTACCATAATGATTCAAAAGGGACCAATAGATTTACCCCTTTTCTTCCAGTTCAGTTTGTTTTCAGCTTCTATGTGCTCACCTTGTTAAGCTCAGCAAACTTTTATAGCAAAGCCACAACGAGCCCTCTAAAACAGACTCCTTATATCTGCATTTACAAACTGTGATTAAGATGCTTCTTCAGCTTTTCTGCCCTGTCTCGTACTGACCAGTGAATTTTAGATCACTGTTGAAATAGAAATTGCTAATTTTATTTCTCTGGCAAAGACAGTTTCCAGTTTATGTCCCACATTTTTTTTCCCAGACATCAGTAATTATATAGTCTCCATGGACAAATAGATATGATGGTTGCCACATCATCTTGCAATACAGACGACCATTTGGAAAGGTAATTATTAGTAGCTTAGTCTTGCACAGCAAAATTATGCTCTTAGTTTTGCTTTTAACCAACTAAGCAGTAGAAGAAAAGGAACAGGAGGTCTGTTGACCCAATATTAACATGCTAGAAATTCAAAGCAATATTTGCTTTCTAACTCTTAATTCAGAACAAAAAGAGAAGGGTTTTTATGGAAACTTACGTATACCTCATAATCAACAAAGCGTTGATACAGAAATAAGTCTGTGGGCACCAGTACTAATTAAAGCCAGGTTCCTAAAGACTGTGTTGGATGTCTGACTGACATTTAAAAACACATTATATTAAGATTTCTTGTTAGTTCCATATATTCCTATAATTTCTTCCCTCTGAGTTTTGCCATATTCTGTTGTAGGAACTGGCTGGCAGGATCAAAATTTCTATGCTTAAAATTAGGGAAACTTTGAAATCTACCTTCCTTTGCCTGAAACATGTAGAAACTTTATTTTCCTTAAATTTGGCTGATGTTTTCAGCAGAGTTCAAATACTACTGGATGGAAGAGGAAGGGAGAACATGAAGAGACACAGATGGAAGTGCCACCTGCCTTCCACAGCAAAACTGGCTAAACCTTTCCAGAAAAAAAATATGCTTTTCAGTATAACCCATGATTTTGTGAGAATAAATGGCAGTCAGCCAAGCTTTACCTGAAGACATGCACTGAGGCCACTAAGAGATATAGTACAAATGACTTGTCCAGGTCTGCTAAGACAAGGAAAATTGTTTGGACTTCAAAACAGCAGAGTATGCTAACTCTCCTCAGCTGAACTATGGCCATACTTCTTAAAATTGTATGATCCTAGGAGGCTGATAGCGTTGGGACAGAAATGGAGTCTCCTGGGCTTTAGTCCTCTCCCTCCTATAGGGGCTCCTGGAGATGTTTCTGTTTCAGGAATGTTCTGTGAATGCCGCAAGTGTCTATGGTGCATCGTGGCACCTCCCTGACAGCAGTGGTTTCTTTCACTCTTAATTATTTCAAAACAGTCAATTAACTGCATTGCACAGATTCAAAACCTTGAAGAAGGCTTTTTGTATGGTGGGCATGTTGACGGTTCTTATATCAAGAGCCAAGGACAACAGTTCTCTCCCACTAGACCTCTGGCTGTTTAAGAAACTGAAAGCTCCAGCCGAACCTTTTCCCCTGTCTGCATATTTGCAAGGTAAATTTGTTTCTCACATGAGTAGGTTGAGTAGCTTCTATGAGTGTTAATACCTTGTGAGGTCACATCACAGCTGTTTCCACAACCTGGATCTGCCTACTATACAGCCATCTGTATTTATAAAATGTACAGAAATGTAATCATCATAACATTGCCATATTTCCTTAAAACTGGACAGTAGGATCAAAAATTACTGATAGGTGAGGAGGGGACACAAGATCCTACTTCTTGTGTGATAGGGGCACAAACAAGAAATACCATTTAAGTTTCGAGAACGAGGAATCTGCACAAAACCAGGCTAAATTCAGGTTTGGGATTTGCAGAACAGAGAGAGAGAAGTGCAGAATGTTTTCCTTGGGTTTACAACATACAACAAAACATATTTATCATGCAAAACATATTAAAAGTGCTAGAAGACTCCAAAACAAAATAAAACCACAAAACAATACTGCATAAATATTGTACCGATGGCCAGACAACTGCCCCGTAACAATCAGTGGCTTCTGTAATTCTTATCTCATGGCCAGCAAAGTGAAAGCCTTCCCAGGCCTTATGAGTTATAAGAGCAGGAAAAAAACGCCTTCTCATGATTTCTGCAACTATCTGTTCATCTTCTTTTTCCCCTGGAAGCAAAAGTGCAAAAGGTCAAACAGGCTGAGTGAACTGATAATGAAACTACCAATTTATACTGAAAAGCTGATTTGGAAGCAAGCATGTGAATTTTGTCTGTGAATAAAAACACATTCCACCATTAATAGCACGGTACATGGGAAGTCTCCTGAATTCTAACTGACATTTTCAGTTTATGACTAAATAATTTCTTTCCGATTTTGCTGAAGAAGCCAAGTTCATAAAAAGTAAAGAAGTGGAATGTTACCATATATTACTTTCCATTTCAGCAATCCGAAGGAAATTTTTTAACTGCTTTTTCCCTTCAAGAACAGTTGCCCTAGTATAGACACTCACAGTTTTATGTGCCTGGGGTTTTTATTATTTTCCATATCCTTTTACTGTTCACTTTCCCCACAATATGGTTCTTTTGACAGTAAACAAAAGGAGCCACAGTATCATTTATAAGTCTGTCACAGAACTTGTGAAACAGATCCTAGCAACACAAATTATGACAGACAGGAACGAAAGCACTAGTGCTGTCAGGAAAGCTTATCCACCCACCCCAACAGAGCTCTGTCAGAGGGATTCTTTCCAGTTGGCTTGATACCCTGAATGCCACCCCTGTTGCTAAGCAAAGGATATTTATGATAGCTCACATAATCCCAGATAACTCTAACGGGAGAGGATTCATTCTTTTTTAGCTGAATACCAAGCCAGTTTCAGTTTTGTCATCATCACACAAAGCTGCACTACAATGTTACGGGAAAAAAAAAAAAAAAGGTAAGTGAAGCTGTCCAGAGCATTTTCCTCGTGAAGTCTAGAATCATTCCAAGTTGTCACAGGAAATTTGCTTTCACAGCCAATTATCATCTCTTGGCAAATGAGCTAAAGCAAAACATGTTTACAAGGTACACCTCCTGAAAAGCATGCTAGAGATTTAGACAACAGGGTTACCATCTTGTCCAAAGCAGAGTTTCTGTATCAAGCCTGCAGTTATCACCAAAATCACAGATATCAAGACCGGGATCTGCATGGAAGCTGCAGGCCCAATGGCTATTAAAAATGAAAATATTTGTGTTTTCATGAGCACAAAACACATTGGTCTACCAAAAGATTCTTCGCCTTTTCTTCCCCCTCAAATCACTGCAATCACAGGACATGGTGGCCTCATGTGTTGTCATTTTTCTGCCATATGCCTCAATATTTTTATTGCCTATTGATAAAAAATATAACCTATTGACAAAGTCTCTCTCCCTTACTTGTGATAGAAGGACCAAGGAACAAAAGCAGGGGTGAACAACGAAAGAGATGATATCAAACAACAACACATGAGGAAGATGCTCAGGCTCATTAGGCAGTGCTTCAAGCTTGTAACTCAGCTTCCTCTAAGCATCAGAGCAAACTAGAGAACAGCAACAAACAAGGAAAATAAAGCAAAAATGCTCATGTTCAGTATTAGTATGTTGACACTTAAGACATAATCTGAAAGTTAAAAAAAGAAAAACAAACAAAAGCTCCCAACAACGAAAAGCATAACCAACCCACTGCAATCCAAGAATATCTTGGGGGGGTAACCCTAATCATGAGATACAGCAAAATTAAACATAACGTAGCGCATATACTACTGGAAAAAATATAAACAGTATCATTTTTTAAAAGTAACTCAAATAAAATAGTCAACATCGAAACTATGATATTTTAAGATGTTAGTTGAGAGAAAACACATGGGTCATTGTGCCTTGCAAGCAGGGAACTCTGTACAAACATGAGTTAAGTGCCAGAGGAATGCTGCTCCAGGGCAAAATTAATCTTTTCTTACGAAAGAATTAATATGAAGCTGTCTTATTACACATATCATAAGTGCATTTGATACATCATCCTGTTTCCAGGCATACCAGATATGGCGTGCTTTTAATCTTCGCTGATTGCTTAGAGCAGTCTGATCTTGTTCTGTGATCAGTACTAGCTGTGGAAGTAAAAAGCTACTCCTTCTACTACCTCCCAATTACAACCATTTTTTCTTGATTCTTCCTCCCTTGACATCTGTTTTGGATCCTATTTTGTTAAGAAGCCGTAACTTATCAAGTCTTAACTTATAAAGCTTCTGCCAGAACATGTATAAAACTTTAGCAGTATAGTGCTCTAGTGCACAATAAGCATTTCCCACCTATTCCCTACATTATCAGCAATCTTCCTACTTAAGGCTTGCATAGCACCTGTACTAACAGAGTTTTGTAGGCCACTGCTCCCTACCTGAGCTAAACTGTCCACATTCCTGAAAGAAGAATCCCAAATCTGCTGATTAATAACACCGCTTAAATCTTGGGCCATTTTATCCCTTTGATAATCCTCCAGGTGGGTTATCTGGAGAAGTTTACATAATTGTTATGTTTTTATCTTCCCCTTAAGAAGATCTTACTAGTGTGGAGAATCAAACAGAGTATTTGTTTCATCACAGACATCATATGGTAGACAGGCTTCAAAACCCTAATGAGAAATTTTATCAGGACCAGGATGATTCCAACAAAGAGTGCTGACAAAATAAGGAGTGCTGACTTTTAGTCAGATTTGCTTACTTGCATAGAAGTTTCTCTTCATACTGCAAAAGGCACCCTTCTATTTTCTGCTTTATATCTTTCAGAATAACTAAACTTCCTGTGGGACTGCCCAAAGGGAAATAAGTTATTTTTTCTGTAACTGCCTTCAGAGCAGTCAGAACAGAAAAATAACTAACTACTGGTATATCCTTCAAGCAACAAGAAAATTGTTATCAGAGTAAGCAAAATTCAAGTGAGATGAAGTCTTTTAATACTTGCAAACATTGAGAGAATTTTGCTTTTGAGGAAGCATGGAAGTGGTATATACATAGAATGACTTCAGCCTATTCATCTCTTCGCATGAGCATGTATACACAGAAACCACTGGAGTTTCAGGTGTGAGAACCTTCTTTACATTAAGATGAGACAATCTGAGGCTGTTTAGGTAACATACAGAGATTGAGATAATTTTTATTAGTGAAAGAGCACTCCTTTGGTCTTGAACTTGTGTTCACAAAGAAGTTCCCATCTATACATGCCCCAAATTCTGCTTGAAATAGAATTTGAATGTCTTTAAGTTTCTTAAGACTTTCTGCCAAATAGGTTAATTTCTTATAGTGTTCTTTGAAATATTTCAGGTAAAGTATTGTTTATCATAAAAATCTAACATTTTTGGAGCATGTTCTTCGAACTCCCTTGATTTTAAGTTAATATCAGGGTTGAGGGAGAAAAGTCATACTGCTGACACATCTTGCACTATATCAACCACATCATCAAGAAAACAGCGTAAACATCATTCTCAAAGGCAAAGCAATCATCATTATTACCACTAAAATGCGAACATAGTTTTCCAAAGAGACATACTAAATCATGTGGAAGACTGGAGTTGTGAAGTTAGTGGCAGGTTAGTTAGAGAAATGCGCATCAAGCTGCAAAATCTTGTATAGGGAACCAGAGGATTTTGCTGACAAATTCAAATGTCAAATGAAATGTTTTATATTAGAAGAAAACCTAAAGAAAGAAAAGGACATGAGTTCTCCTGAGAGAGTTGGAGAAGTCCTTCAAGTGGGGAAGGAAAGACAGAGGGAAAAAAACAGGAGATAGACCAGGTCAGAATGAAACAAGCTGTAAACTGCAGCATCTTTTTCTTCAGCAATGAAGCAAATCACAGGAATGGTCCTTAGGTTATATTTATCTTCACACTCTTTGCTTGGAATGAGTAGAAATCGCACCTGTTTAGAAACATGCTCCATGATCAGCTAGCTGTTCCGTTTACACGAATTATCATCATGCTTGGGAGCATACAGCTCCATCAGGAAACGGTAACATTAAAATTCACTTGGGTATCTTCCATCAATTAATAGTATATGTTAAACCTCTCACGGCATAACTAATGATACTGCCTACATTAATGCATTCTCCACTGAATAAAAAGGGAACAGAGACAGGCACTGTTAAACAGCACTTGAAATGCAGGAAAAGCAGCAAAGACAAGGGGTCTGAGTTAAAATCATATTTTTAAAAATAGATACCACTGTCTAGATACCTGAATTAAAATGTGGCTATAAAAAGAAAGTAAAATGACCCTTCCACATAGAAGCTGTGAAGAATTTACCAACAGTCAATCTGCATTTTCAGACTCATTCACAAATAGCACACAGAGTAAACAGAACATCCTCCAAGTATTTTTCTAATGGATTAGGACAGCATTAATTCAGAAACAATAGTTTCACCCAGTGATCCATCAAAACAACCTACAGAGAAAAAAAATCAAACAGATTAGTCTCTTTCGAGTGCTGGCCTGGCCTTACTTAATCTCTTGAGGTCAAATGGTGTCACAGCCCAAGGTGATAAGGAAATCGGACCCAGCCATCTCCCTGCTTTGATGGATCTTCTCCAACTGGCAAAAGGAATGAAATCCAAACCTTTAGCATGAACTTGACCTGACGAAGTTCAACCTGACAGCAACATATTCTCCCTTCTTCAGAAGCAGTATAGTCTCACCTGTAGAGTCTAGATTTTAAATTTACCATTTAAGCCTGTACTTACAAATATCTTAAGAACCATATATCAACAGCTGTGAAGATGTACATGGTTCCTCTAAGATTGCCTATGAGCTTGCTGAGCACAGGAGGATTACCTGTGCTGATATTACTGATTGAGTAGTACATGAGAGAAAGTTCCAAGAATTCGTGATAGCCACGACTCTTCAGATCTCCCCACTCTGGACACACGGAACTGGAGTAATCCAAAGTAAAGATTCAAGAATGTATTTTATATATATATATCAAAGTAAAGATTCCTGATGCATTTTATAGATGTAATATATGCATATTATATGTAATATAAATTACATATACATATCCATCTCAACATCAAGATACCTGCTGAAAGGTCAGTAAGGGAACACATTTGCAACCAGTTCTGTAATTGTAAGAGAGAAGAATTACATTACTACACTGATAGGAACCATC